TCCCTCACCTGGAAGCTGACCAGCCCTCCCCTGGGGTACACTGGGTAATGTCCTCAATTGCCAGAGAACAGCAGACTGGTTCCAGTGTTGGGCTTCTGTAGGAGCCCCATCCCACAACCACAAATTGCTTCTTCCGTCTCCCCTATCATCACTGGAAATCCCTGTGAGTGTGAGCACAGATGTGCAAGGAAACAAACCAGCTCTGTGGAAAGGAATGGAGTTGGTGATGGGGCTGATTTTCAGTCATCTGTCCCCCCACACACTTTTTTTGGTACCAGAGATTGAACCCAGGGCTGCCTAACCACGGAGACACATCCCCAGCCCTTTTTATAATTTAGAGGCTGGGTCTCACTGAGTTGCTCAGGGGCTGTCTAAGTTACCCAGGGTGACCTTGAACATACGATCCACCAGCCTCAGCCTCCTGTGTCACTGGGATCACAAGTGTGCACCACTGCATCCAGCTTCATCGGTTCCCTTCATGGGGAATGTTCAAAAGTTTTAGCTCTCTTTTGGGATCTGGGTGATCAGGAGGGGGGAAGCGTCCCTGGGACCTGGCCTTGGACTGCCTGGAATCTAAGAAAGTGAAGACACAGGAGACACCTAAAAGACACGATGAGAATCCAGGGAAGGGAGCGAGTTTCCTGATCAGGTGGGGGTGGCACTAGGGCTCAAGTGCCATGTGGACAATGAGGACAGAGGGAGGGACATGGGCTGAAAGTGAAAGTGGAACAGGAAAGCTAGGTGTGCATGGGACTGGGGATGTGCTGGTTTGACTGGAAGCTGGGCTCCTCCTTACCCAAGAGGCAGCTTCTGTTGGCCTTGGCTTCGGAGCAGCCACAGGAAGACCTTGTGGGAGACGGTCAGACCTGAAACCTGGACTCAGTGCAGCTTGAAGCCCCATGTGCCTCCGTGATGTTCCCTGACTGCCCACGGCCAGAGCAGAGAACTCCCCACTCTGAAGAGGACCCGACTGCACATGAGATCTCACTCTGGTCTTGAAGTGGACTTGAGCTGGGGTGGTGTTAAGAGTGTGATGGGGTAGAAGTAATTCATGCTCTCTTAAGTGTTCCTCTTCCACGGCTCTAATTTAAACAGGTCTCTGAAGGAGCACTGGGATTCCTTGACTTCAAATCTACGAGGAAGTGGAGGGACATTTCACGCACACTGGAGCTAGATGCTGCTTGTTAAGGTGGCCAAATTCAGGAAATGAAAGCACAGGACACTTTATTAGTCAGCATTCATCATCGTAATGGAAAACCTAAAATAACATGTGAAGGAAAGTTGATTTAGCTCACGGTTTTGGAGGGAGGTTTGCAGGTATGACACCTGCATCAGCTTGGCTCTGGACAGGTCCCTCATGGCATCCCACCATTATAGACAGCTAGGGATGGAACACATGTGGATATAAATGATCACATCTTCAGATGGAAAGACAGAGGGCTGGGTGGGGCAATGTTTGGACTTTTGCAATAACATTGTAAAGAGTACAAACAAGGAATCCTCCCATATTCCCTTCCAGGGCACACCCCAAAGTCCTAGGGACCGCCTATGAGGCTCCACCTCTTTGGTATTCCACAATCTCCCAATACCACCACCCTGAGGACTGAGACGCCCATGCATGGACCATTTGGAGATAAACCTCACCAACCCACATCAGAAGCCCAGATACATTTGACATTCAGATAAATAAGAAAACCATTGTTTGGAGTATTTGAGTGCAACATTTGCTATGCGTTTATACTGAAGATTTTTATCTTTTTATCTGAAATTGAAATACAATTATCAGATTTACATTTTATGTGCCAGGTGTGGATTGAACTTGCTCTTCAGGCTTTCAAGGAGTGGTTGGCCTGTGGCTCCCTGTGGATTCCCAAGCTCACCCTTCCCACAAAGCAAGAGGGGAAATCCCCTGGCTGAGGGGGACATGCTCAGCGCTAGGACTCTCCTAGCCTGCTTTGATGGGCTTTCTGATTTTCATTCATTTGTTTCTTGGAAGCTCCAACATTCAACCCCACATCCTCCACCAGCTCCCAGCTTTGAACAAACTCCTGGAAACTGGTTGCTGACTGCATCAATGGTTCTCCTGAGACCTCACATTTTCCCCTATGGAGAACGTGAGACAGGAATTGTAGCACCAGCTACAGAAAAATCCCCCAAAGCAGCGGGAGAGAGGAGCAACGATTGTGGTGCACAGCATCCTGGGGATGAAGCATTTTTCAATCCATGATTCATTATGTTTTGGAAAGATCGTGTGATGCTTTCACTTAAGATCTGCAGAGGATCTGCAGAGGAGATCTCAGGGCAGCACCTAAAAAAGAGACACGCAGTATTTCTAGGGCACAATGTATAAGTATTCACTCTGGATGAGTAAATTAAAGTCCTATATAGCCTCTAATTCTCACCCCTATTCTATCAAGACTCTCCGCCAAACTAGTAAAGAACAACTGAAGCCTTCCATGGAGCATCCACTCACACTCTGCCTGGCCCCAGCTCAGCTCTCTGGGTGACACTGAGTTCCAGGGGTGAGTTGCCCATCTATTTCTTCATTTGTATATCCTTGCTAATTTCAGTATGTACACTGCATGATGCTGCTGGTGCTTGTGTCTGTGAGCACATGCATGATCAATGTCTCTACCACATGGGTCACTTCTGACAAACATCCCACGAGGATTTGCTCAGTTTTGCAAGTCTTTTCACTTCTCAACTCCCAAACATTTCCAATTCCATCTGAAGTCCCCTGGCTCTTTCGGGAGTCTGAGTTGCAATTAGGATAAACAGAGTGTGACTAACATCCAGAAAAGAAATTCATTGAAAGGATATAGAGGAGCCCAGAGAATCAATCAGAAGCCTTGAGAAATGGATACACAGTTTACAGCCCTAACTCTTTATTAACCAAAGTAATTGATTATAAATAGGGAGAGAATGCTGCTCCTGACAAGCATATGGTGTGTTAGTCAGGTTTCCATTGCTGTGATCAAAAGACCCAGCAAGAACAACTTGGGGGAAGAAAAGTTCATATTGGCTCACAGCTGGTTGTAGTTCACATGGCCTCCCTCTTGGTTTCAGAGTTTCGGGTCATGGTTGGCCAACCAGGTTCACAGTTTCAGAGGTTCAGGTCATGGTAGGCCAACACCATTGCTCTGGGCCCCAGATGAGGCAGAACATCATGGCAGAAAGGCTTGATAGAAGAAAGCAGTGGAGGACATGGCAGCCAGGAGGCAGAGAGAGAACTTGAGTCCAAGGGACCAGGGATGATATTATCAAAGCACACCCCAATGACCTGCTTCATCCATCCAAGCCCCACCTGCCTATGGTTACCACCCATTAATCCATTCTAATTCTTAATCCATCCAATGGACTAATCCATTGATTAGGTTAAGACCATAATGATGTAGTCATTTCACCTCTGAACATTCCTACATTTTCTCACATATGGACTTTTGTGGGATACTATACATCCAAACCATAACATTTCACCCTGGCCCCCCAAAACTCATGCATTTTGTTTATCTCCAAGAATCACATAGTCTTAACAGTTCCAGCACTGCCCAAAAGTCCAAATCCAAAATCTCTGCTAAGACTCAAGGCAAACTCTTGGCTGTGGGCCCTGTAAAGAGCAAAAGAAAAATACAGATATTCCATATATAATGGCACAAATGAATGAATATTTCATTCCAAACAGGAGAAACAGGAGCATAGAAAGAAGGGATGGGACCAAAGTAAGACTGAAATCTGCTGGGCAAACACATCCATAGCTCCACATCCAGCATCTGGGGCACTTGGCATCATGATTATCAGGAGCAGTGACAGAATTAGGGTGTTTGAGCTGTCCTGCAACAGGGGCGGTGTCTCTCCTGGGAACTTTCAGTGCAAAAGTGCTGATCCAAGATTTCCCAGTTGCCATGGTGACACCCTGTTCCAAAGCAGGTTCTGTGCCCACCATGGGGTACCTTGAGGTACAGACATAGCTTCCTAGGGGTAGAAAGCTATGGGCACAAGTTGATAATCATAATTGGGCTGCTTATACTTATGACCTTTGTTCTACTTGTTTTGAAGAAATTTTCTCACTATATCCCTCTTGATGATTATATCTATATAATAAATGTGCTGAGCTTCTTCTGGGTCACTGTATCCCTATCAAGTATTTTAGGGAACCTCCAAGCCCCAGCTTTTTCTCTACTTGTGTGTCTGTCTTTTCTGCATCCCCTCATTGGCCCTAGTCTGGTACCTGAATTCACAGCCATGCAGGTCGTGACATGAAGTGCTCTCCAAAGGGCTTGTGTAGTTCTGCCCCTATGGCCTTGCTGGTTGTAGCTCACATGGCCTCTCTCTTGATTTGTTTCTGCTTGATTTCTGCAGCTGTCTTCAGCAGATGTTCCATGTTACTGGCATCTCTTAATCCCTGGGGTCTCCACTGCAGCTTTGGCTTCCTTCTCACATCTCACACATCACCCTCTCAAGGGTGGTCTGCAGGGATTCTGACCCTTCTACACTTGGCCTGGCCTCCCAGGCCTTCCTTTGAAATTTCAGTGGAAGCCTCCATGACCCCCTAACTCCAGTATCCTGCATTCCTGCAGAACCAGCTCATCCCCAATGACTTACTTCCTTCCACTAGACTCTGGGGGCATCTCAGAAACCTGCAAGTCTGTCTCACCATCAAAGTGGCTTCACCAGAAGCCTGCCAGAGCAGAGTGCTTTGGGGAAAGAGGCTCAGGGCTTTCTCTATGGACCCAAAGTCCAGGATCTTCCCAGAGTCCAGGGTCTCCCCAGAGTCCAGGGTCTCCCCAGAGTCAGGATCTCCCCTGGTCTCTGCTCCCTGCTTTCCCACACAGTGCCCTGTGGCTGCTCCAGCCATGGTTCAAGCAGGCCCAGGTGAGGTTAGTGTCAGTGCAACCCAAGGTTTTAATGATAAACGTGGGAACACAGCCTGAAGTTTGCTGCAGGGTGGGGGAGCCATAGAAATCCTCACCACCACCCCCGGGGCAGTGCCTAGTGCAGCCATGGGAGTGGATCTGCCTCCAGATCTCGGACATGCAGAGCAGTCATCTCTGTGCAACAACCAAAGAGGAAAGCCACAGACGTCACTGCACTGCCCAGGAGAGCAGCCATGTGGGCTTGAACAGCAAAGCCAGGGGTGACAGGGCTGCCCAAGGCCCTTAGACACTGCCATCTGCACTGGGTGCCAATCAGGGAGCTTAAGGCTTGGAGTCTGCCCTGTGGATCTTTGGTCTTGCTGGGCCTACGACCCTTTCACTTATTAATGTCCAGGAGCATTTTACCCTGAGCCTGTCCTGCTCTTGTTCTTGGAATTTTGTAACTTTTTGGTTTTCCTTTTTGCCTTGAGAATTTAACCCAGTGCCTGTGTTTGCTGGGCCAGCTTTCTACCTCTGAACTGCACCAGCTTGTAATTTATTTTATTGTATTTTGTTTTATATTGTACAGGGGCTCAAGGCTGGGAAGAGTTTGCCTTGAGCCTTGAATGAGACTTTGAATTTGGCTTTTTAATGATGCTGAAATGAGTTAGGATTTGAGGACTCTTTTATTAGTGCATTATAATTAGACATAATAGTGGGGTTCTTTTGACATAATTATATAAGCATGGCCTATAATGGCTTCATTTCAGTCCCCAGTACCTCTCCATTTGCTCTCCTCTTCCCTCCCCCAGTTCCCCTTCCTCCGTCTGCTGGTCTTCCTTCTATCTACAGTTTTTTTTTAATTAGTGCTTTATAGATACACATACAGGTGAAGTCCAGTGTGGGGTATCCATATATGTACATAGCGTAGCCTGGTCAATTGCATTCCACTCTTCCTCCCTTTCCCATCTCTCCTCCCTCCCGCTCTATCCCCTTTCTCTAATCCCCTGATCTCTCTTCTGTTTTCATGGGAATTGTCTAATTTTGGTCTAGATGCATCATATTAAAAAGCTCTGCACAACAAAGAAAAGCAATTAAGAGTGTGAGGAGAGAACCTACTGAATGGGAAAAGATCTTTGCCACCTATTCCTCAGAAAGGAGATTAATATCAAGAATACATAAAGAACTCAAGATACTTCACACCAAAAAAAGAAAAAAAAATCCCAATTAATGGGATCATGGAGTGAACACATTGCACATGATAAGGCAGACAGAGACCCTGGGAGCCTGGGGAGGGATGCTTTAGGTTGGATACGGTTTGACTCTGTCCCCCAAAGATTCGTGTACTGGAGGATTGGTCTTCAGTGTGGCAATGTGAAGAGGTGGTGGAACCTTCAAGAGCTGGGGCCTCAAATGAAGTGGTTAGGACACCAGGACACTGCTTGGAAGGGATTAATGCTTTTCTCTGTTTAAGTGGGTAAGTGAATTCTCATGAAGTGGGTTATTATAAAATAGTGAGCTTGACCCCATGGACATCTCTGTATTCCTGTCTCATGTGCATTTTTACATGTGGCCCCACTATGTGTGACCATCTGACATGATGCCCTCATCAGAGCTGAGCAGATGTTACCAACATGCTCTTAGACCTCCAGAATTATAAGATAAATAAACCTCTTTTCTGTATTTATTATCCAGTCTCAGGTATTTTGTTATGGTAACAGAAAACAGACTAACATAGCCCTCTAAAAGAAAAAGTAGACAACATGCAAGAAGAGATGGGAAACGTAGTAGAGTGATGGAAATCCTAAGAAGAAATAAAACTGAAATGCTGGATGTCAAAAACACTGTGTAATACTTAAATTTACTGAGCTATGAGGTGCCCAGATGTTTGGTCAAACATTATTGTGACTGTTTTAGTGAAGTGGTTTTTTTGATGACTTGGCACTTAAGCTACCAGATGATTAAAGCAGGTGCCCTCCTTAATGTACATGGACCTGACCTAACCACATGAAGGCTTAAACAAAAGGCTGGATCTCCTTAATGGACTAAATTATTCTGTCTCCCCAGATTCCTGTACTGCAATCCCAACTCCAGTGTGATGATACCAGGGGGTGGGAACTTTGGAGGTGATTATGTCATGGAAGTGGAGCTCTCTTGATTGGCATTAGTGCCCATCAAAAGGAACTCCAGAGATCTCTTACCCTCTTTCTGCCACGTGATGATACAACTGAAGGTGGTGCTGTGCACCTGGAAGAAGGGACTCACCAGAATGTGACCCTTCTGACCTGGCACCTGATCTCAGTCATACAGCCTCCAAAGTGTGAGAAATGAAACTTCTGATATTTATAAGCCACACACTCTATGGTACTTTGTTAGAGTAGCCCACGCTGACCAAGACTCCCTCTCTTGCATAAAGGGAACTCCACCTGCCTGACTGCCTTCAACCTGGAGCGTTGGTGGTGGTATTTTCTCCCTATCTTCAGACTCAACATGTATGGCAGCTCTTCCTGGGCCTCAAGCCTGCGGCCCTTCAGACTGGACCTACACCAGGGACTCTTCTGACTGTGGGGCCCTTGGACTTGGAGTGGAACTAACCATGGTTCTCCTGAATCTCCTGATCACTGCCTCACCCTGAATCTTGGGTCTTGAGGCCTCCACAATTGCATGAGGCAATTTCTGTGCTTTCAACCAGCCCAGCCCCTGCACGTCTTTTAATGAGGTTGTCTTAGGGGATAACTGGCAGCTGGCAGAACTGGTTCTGTTCTTGGGCCCCTTCTGCTGACTGTTGATGCTTCTCCCTGTATATTGGCTCCACCCCAAGCACCTAGCACCCTTGGTCCCTCCAGAGTCATCCTTCCTTTTCCATCAACTCTGTCTCATGTTTGTTCCTCACTACTTTTGGAGACTTCTTCCTGTCTGTAGAATTTGATGCCTATGGGCGTCTTTGTATTTCACTTTTCTGTCATTGTTCACCACGCCAGCACTGCTTTGCTTAGTACAATTATCTTTAACACTCTATGGCTTTCTATGGTGTGTGTTGAGGGCAGTCATCCCACTAGACAGAAACTGCACATACAGGACCTTCTGTCTATCTTCCCCCCCAGTGAGGGACAATGACCTCAAGGTTCTTTGGGAGATTCCAGGGTGGTCACGCAATCTTGTGCCGAGAGGGTAAGGCAGCCCAAATCCACAGGGATGGGAGGCCCTGAACTTGGGACCCTTCTAGACCTTGCCTTCTGTACAGCTTCAAATGGCTGTTAATCTGTGTCGTTTATAATATCCTCCATGATAACCTAATAACAACAAAAACAAGAGATTCTTAGCACCCTAGTATTTGACAGGGGAGGTCTGGGAGATGTGCCCTTCAGAAACTCAGAGGGCACCCTGTATTGGTGAAAGGCCTCACTAGGGTCCCCTTGGACCCTTCTGAGGTCTGATGGTCTGGCTATGGTTGGCCGTGTCCCTGGGAGCTCGTGTGCTGGAATCCTGGTCCCACTGTGGTGGTGTTGAGGTGGTGGAACCTTTAAGAGGAGGGACCTAGTGGCAGGTGGAGTTACTCTGGTGCTGTCCTTGGAACAGATTAATGTAGTTCTTGGCACCCATTGGTGAGTTCCTGAGAAATGGGTTGTTATTTTTGCTTCCTGTCTCACCTGTGAGCTCTCCCCGTCACATGAGCCTACACCCTGATACTCTCCACCAGGCTGTGACACAGCCAGCAATCCTCATCCCCACTGGGAAGATGGGTCTACCCATCCGGGAAGCTCAGGCTCCTGAACTTTTACTTAGAAACCACCCAGCCTCATGTATTTTGTTAGAACAACGAAAACAGACCAAGACACAAGGTCTTCAAAAAATTCAAACAGCCACACCTTGATCTGATCTTTACCAGGAAATTTTTGGAAAATTTGAGAAACTTGCTATTAGGAGAGGCAGGAGTTTTGAAATTTTTATTTTTGAATCCAGAAAGTTCTGGCACTTCTATAGATGTGCTCTAAAATTGACCTGGAAACTGGACATGTTCCTTTTATTCCATCTTATATCTCTGTTCTTACTAAATGTGGCTAAAATAAATAAATTGTTATATAGACTACTCTGCTTAGAAATATTTTCAAGTAACTCCATGAGTTCATTAGATATATTTATTGTTTTCAATATCACAACAAGTGTCATTTTTATGGAACTTTCTACCAGGACAAATGGAGTTTCTTTCTTCTCAGATTTCCATTAGTTTCTCCCTCTTCTTCCAGCATTCACCATGTCCAACCAAGGCCCCTCCAGCCTTCATGAACATTTCCTCAATAATCTTCTGGTGCCTGCACAGACAACCCAAAACTACATGCTACAGGTCTGCACACCAACGCACTCTCCTTGGCCACCTGCCACTTTCTGGCCTAGAGAAATGCTGATACACTAGAAAGCCACCAGAAGTGGAGTGGCATACAAGAACAATTTTGCTATTTCCATGGGATCTGTGGGTCAGGAACAATGTCCCTCTGCTCCATGATTTCTGGGGATTCAGCAGGAAAGACAGGAAGGCTGGGGTGACTCAATACCTGGGAGTTGGAAGTATCTGAAGGCTCCATTGCATACGTGTCTGGTCCCCAGGACAGGGGGGCGACGCAGTGCTCAGTGCAGCTGGGAGTGAATCAAGGCACACAGATGTGTCCTCCCAGTTCCTGGGGCTGCTGCAAGGCTGGGTTCTGAGAGGGAGAACCTGGATGATTTGGCCTGGGCCTGGGTTCCAACAGAGGAAGGTGGGGTGGCAAGGTCACCTGCAGAAGGGAACGTGGTATAGAAAATATCACTGGGATTTTCTTTGTAAATACACACTTCCCCTGGCCTTACCTCTGCATCCTTTCTTGTTCTCTCTGCCATCTTCAACCTTCTTTCAGATTTGCCTGTGTGTGCCTCACCAAGCACATTGTTCATTGCTTGGCCCTGACGCACGTAGAATAGGATGGCCCTGAAACTATGAGTGCTATTCCTGCAATGAAAACAGACACCCAGCTCTGCTGTGTGGTTAGCACCTCACCATCAAATCTGTGTGCATTGTTCTATTGGTTTCTGAGAACTGGGCATGCCTCTGCCTTCCAACTCTGTAGGAGCCTTGAATTTCCCAGTAAAATGGCCTTGAGTGGCACAGATACCTGTGTGTTCATAAGGGTAAACAGCTTAGACACACCATTTTTGTCTACAAAAACCCCAGGCACAACTCTTATTGAGGGGACACCCTCTTCCCCAGCACTAGACCATGTG